TGTAGAAAATACATATGTTCACACACAAATAACCTCACATTCGTGTTGTGAACATTTGTGTGTGAACATCTCTAGTAACAATTTCTAAACTAACTTTATTTAAAAAAACGTAGATCTTTAATAAAAATTAGTTTTTCAAATACGAAACTTACCCAAATACACGGCCGGCTACAGGGAATCTCGATTCAAACACAGATATCAATGAAAATACATAGTAGGCATAGATTCGATACACTACAGATATACCATCAACTCTTGGTTCCTGTCCAACATCTATATACAAATTACCTACACGTAACGTTACGTAGAAATTTCAACCGGTTGAAATTCGCTTAATGAATAAGTTTACTGCTATTTCTGTTTCCGTTAGATTACGTAGCTCTAAAGCTATATCCTGATTGGCTTATCGGCTTAAGTTCACGTCTTACGGTTATTGTTACGGAATTTTGTGTGCGGCAGCCTTAACGCCCCTAACAGTAACCATAATGGTGGAGTCCCATGAGGCGTATTTGTCGCGTATCGCGTAACCGCGTAACCAATCAGAAGCAATCCGCCTTTTCCGCTACGCATAAATAGATCTCCTACTGTCCCATGCGTAAAAAGTAGCCTGCGTATGCGCAAAAACCAATCATGTTTCTATATTCTCCCAGAGTTCTATGATGGAAAGCCAAATACCCAAATTCATTGGTTACGCTATTTATAAAAACGCATCATGGGACAGGAGGGATAACAAATTCGCATACTGTTCGCACACACACATTTCTACAGATAGTCGTATTAACTTCTGTAGGACTTGCTCCGAGATACAGGTGTCAATTAAAGAAAAATCTGTTCTGACTATACATTTATATCGTCACAAATATGAATTCAAATGATTTATTGTTTTATATTTGTGCATTTCGTCAGCAAATGTATTCGAACACCGTTGATGGTTCAGCTGTACATTTAAAATTGCGAAAATTAATAGCTATTTGGTTATTAATAAAAAAAAATAAGCGAAATCAACGACCAGCTGTACGTAAATTTTGGGTTCATCCAATATTTTCTTATGAAAATCGATTACTTCAAGGAGCAAGTGATAATCTTGTAAAAGAATTACAATTCCACAATGACAATCAATTTTTTAATTACTTTCGTATGAACATGAAAATGTATCAAGAATTATTAACTTTGGTGGAACCACTTATAGTGCAGGAATGTATTCGAATGCCAATACCTGCAAACACACGTTTGGAAATTTGCGCTATTTAGCTTCTGGTGATAGCATGAAATCACTTTCTTATGCATACCGAGTTGGACACAATACCATTTCGAAAATTGTGTCAGAAACTTATGAAGCAATCTGGATGGTGTTAAAAGATAAAGTTTTTCCTTCATACAGTGAAGATACTTGGAAGAAGATTGCTAACAAATTTGAAAATCGGTGGAACTTTCCTAACTGCATAGGCGCTGTAGATGGAAAACACATTATGATTCAGGTATTAATTTTTCAAAATTTTATTTAATAATAATTTCATATTTTAGAAAACTTCATTTTTCTTGTTACAGGCACCTCCACACACAGTGGCTCAACTTATTATAATTATAAATCATACCATAGTTTAAATTTGCTCGCTGTTTGTGATACAGAGTATTGCTTTACTTTCTTAGACATTGGAGCTGAAGGACGTCAGAGTGATGGTGGAGTGTTTAGAAACAGCAACTTGTATAAAGCATTGGAAGAAAATTTAATAAGAATACCACCACCAGATATTATTGGAAATAATGGACCTGTTTTACCATACGTGATTGTGGCAGATGAAGCTTTTCCTTTAAAAACGTACATGATGCGACCATTTCCCTGAAGTCAACTCAATAAAACGAGAAAAATCTTTAACTACAGACTTAGTCGAGCAAGACGTGTTATAGAAAATGCCTTTGGAATATTAGCAGCGAGGTGGAGAATCTTCAGAAAACCAATTATAGCGTCTATTTCTACTTGCAAAAAAATTATACAAGCAACATGCTGTTTACAATTTTATAATGAAACGTGAGCTGCAAAAACCAGTTGCAGAATGAGTTTATTCTACAATGCACTCACATCATTGTAATGTTTTTACAGGCCTCATAGACTCAGGAAATATTGGAACCAATTTTCATTCGCAAAGTGCAAATGTAATAAGAAATACATTTGCTGCACATTTTGAAGGTCATGGTTTAGTTGCATGACAATGGGAAAAAGTTTTACAAAATGATTTTAGAAATAAACTGTTATATATATCATGCAAAATTTATTTATTAATATTCGAATAATTTTATTTTTTATAATACATATAATAATACATATTTAACAATACATATAATAATACATTCCTTATAAATATTTAAAAATAACGTTTAATTTATTCCAATTCCTCATTTACAGCCATTGTAAGTAATTTTAATTGTAATGTAGTACGTTTCTCATATGGCAGTCGCCGTAAAACTTCTCCTAATACTTTAAGAAATCCATCTACTGCATCCATCTGTGGAACGGGCATATTTAAGATGTTCAATAAAGGTGATTCTATGTGGATGATTGATCATTTTCTGATAATTTTCGCTCTATAATTAGAAATGATCACAAGTTTACAAGATTAATGATTTTGTATAAGATAAATATGATGCATAGTTTCATGTTACATACTTTTAGTGTTTGTTTTGAATTAGGAGTCGGAGTTCGAGATGGACGATTTAGAAGTGGAGTTGGCGATTGAAATATGGCGATATCATTACTTCCTACAGAATTTTCAAAATTAGGCGATATTATACTCTCAACAGTAGATAAATATCCAGAAGTATTTTCGTCAGAGGTAGAAGGCTGTGATTCTATTGATAACGTACTTATTGTTCTGTAAAAAATATTAATTATTGTGAGAGAATACGATATATAATATAAATTTGCTCATTCCTTAAATGACTTACGATTCTGCTTGAAGAGTATCATCCAAAGGCTTCATTAATTCAAAATATCGATAAAAATTTTTTAAATTTGATGATAATGCGCCAGATCCACTAGGAACATATGTTTTCATCTTTTTTTTAGCTCTTACATAGCAGTCGCGATGATATTTCCACTTTTTTTACAGTTCTTCAATTGACATAATACCTGTAGAATAGGCATACAAAGTTCAATTTTATTACGAAGACATTTACTATGTTTACACGGCATGCTTTACGCCGAAGTTATAACATCGATGTTAAGAAACTGGCCAATCACAGTCATTCCATTCTTCAGAGGAACAGCTATGATTGGCCAGTTTCATAACATCGATGTTATAACTTCGGCGTAAAGCGTGCCGTGTAAACATAGTAATTCTTGTGAAATATGACTCTCTGGAAAAGTTGTTATTAAAGCCATAGCTCTTTTTAATAACAGTATTGGGAAATTTATTTTTAAAAATGTGTGTTTATAATATACCACCAAGGATATTTCTAATTTCTTCATAATGTATTTTTTTTTCAATTTTGATCGTTCTCGCATATCAACTCTATGATCAAATAATGGTGATCTTTCCATAATATCCATTATTAGATGTTCATCAATGTCATTAGACTGAGCTGATGTATTAGACTGGGCTGATGGTTGCGATTGCTGCAAGCTCTGAGTATTATTTACATTGACAGTTCTTACTGCAAGGCAGACTTTTTAATATTACTTTACTCAAGACATGTTTTAACAAGCATTATAAAAAATCTTATTATTGTTTATACACGCGCGCCGAGAAATGCGTAACTCTCTATATATATCAATTATTGCGAAGAATAATGCTAAGGTCTCGGTAGTCTAAAGGCTTAGGACGCTCGCACGGAATGCAAGAGATCCGGGTTCGACTCCCGGCCGAGGCATTATTTTTCGCAATAAGTTTATTACAGTTTTTAAGTTGGGAAATTTGGGGGGATTATTAATATTTTCAGATTTGATTGCGTTGAAAGTCCGACAACCATATCGGCACGCAATTATCATTTCTGAAATTAATTCATTTAAATGAATTTACAATAGTTCAACATCTTAACGTTCTGACCGTTATGGCGCTTCTTAATTTAAAGTATTATAAAAAAAATTTTGTACCGATATAGTAACAATTGAGTTTTGATCAACATTAATTAGACTTTCTCTCTCATCATAACTCGCAAAGCACCGATGTTCCCATAAATTTTGACAAGCAATATTCAGTAGCCATCCACAGTATCCGCACTTCAGTTGCTAGAAAAAATATAATTATGAAAGAAGGTTCTTTTGAACCTCCCAAACGTGGTCGAAACGTCTGTTTATAATTATTGTATAATTTGTGTCTATGCTTATAATACTTATTTGTTATCAATTAATACGTATTATCTGACTTGTAGCCTTCCCTGGTAGCAAGCTGACGTCAAAATGACTTAGCTTGCTACCTGGGTTTCTATTATATTAATTATTATTAATATTTTATATTTAACTATTAATATTATTAATATTTTATATTTAACTATTAATATTATTAATATTTTATATTTAACTATTAATATT